GGTTGTAAATAAATTATTTACAAATACCTAAATATTTTGTCGATTTAAAATATAAGTTAACGCAATCTATTACTATCGCGGATCAGATAAATATAAATTAATTTAAAACAATTGAATTTTAAAGTGGTTGTAATTTTCTATAATATGTTGAATAAATTAATTTCAATATTTTACAAATTGGTTTCATTTCATACTTTATAACATTTGTTGAATTCATTTCCCTTTTCATGTAATTACATAATAAAACTTACAAAGTAAATAATTTGATAAATAATTTCAGTATTTCCACTAAATAAATGAATAAAAAACTTTAAAGTCTCTGAATTGTAATATATATGGAAAGGAAGGCCTAAAATGGCTGATAAGCGAAGGTTTTGATGGCTTTCTGATTGGAAATAATATATTTCCAGTGAATTCCAGCCGTAAATATGTTATGAATGCATAATTACTGATCACAATAGAGATAATGATATAAAATTAGCGATTATTTAATGAATTTCATGTAAAAAAACTAGTCTCATCTTGGTAATTTACTTGCCACTAATTCATACGTAACGTTATATTAAACATAAATAACAATCCTTTTTCCGGTATTTCTATGTCTAAAACTGTTTTAAAATCGTTATAAAATTTAACGTAAAAAAGATGAGTAAACACCGATATATAAATTATGCATATAAATTGCGGCCTTGCTCAAATGTGCAATATAAATGTCTCCCAGTTTATAATAATCATTATTATTACGATATTTATGGTAAAAAAGACATATTAATGATAGTAACGAGATTAATATTTTTATTAGTCAACTATTATTTGTTAATTAATTGAAATGATATATAATTAACAAATTGTTGTCAGAAATGTGATGCAATAATCAAATGTCAAATGACTGACGAAATGAAATGACAATCGTTTACATTATATATGCATAACTTGTAAAACAAAATAACGATTAAATTTAAAGTGAAAACAATTTTTTGTGTTCAAGGATTTGAGACATTCATATGGAGTAATGAAATGAAATTTATCTTTCAATTAGAATTCTCTCTCTCTCTCTCTCTCTCTCTCTCTCTCTCTCTCTCTCTC